GTAATAATAGGCCTCGGAGATATAATTTTAAATATTTGTTTGTCGAACAACATGAGAATTTAGTTATTAAATTAGTGCAGTATGATAATACCTAGATTCGGTGACTTTATTATCCCTTATATGTTAGTCTTTTTAGGCTACTAATACACTAGACCAATTCGTAAACCCAAATACGTATAGCAGTAATGTCTATGACGGGTTTATTGAAAATGTTAAAGGCGATTCAGATGATTTTTAAATTTAAGAGGCATTAAGATATAATGCAATGAAAGTACGGGCCAGATTAACATGCAGGTTGTTGAGATATATGGCAAATTAAAAATAATTAACAGGGCAAAAATGAAAAATATTTTTCTAAATCGAGACGACTTATGGAATTTCAGTTAAGAATATGATGAGTTATAAACTTTACATAAGACGTCGCTGTAGTTAACCTAGCGATATGTATAAATGTGTGCAAAAGGAACTAAAAATAAAAAATGCCTTTAAACAGCACGTTCTCTTAGTAGAATGTTGTCGTATAAAAGTATTAAATATTTCTACTTAGTCCTGGGAGTGGCTCGTATGAAATTAACAAAACCAGTCCAACAGAAAAAATATAAGTTAAGTACTTAAATCATAATAAATGAACCAGGAAAGGGAAAAAGTAAAACTCGCCTGGGTTGTTTTCGCTTCCAAGTAATGATTATTTGAATTGGACAGTAATTCGAACCTGGACTATACACGAGATACTGTCGACTAAATTATTGGATTAACCCAGCATTGAAAACTGGATTTGTGTAAGTCCAAAATTAATTTAAGCCAAATATGTAGCATTGCCTGACGAACAGTCTAAACGTGACATAAGATTGCAGGAAATCTATAGTTCAAACTCACCATAAATTTCTGGCAATTTCATCCTGTTTGGCCATGGAACTCAGCAATTGGAAATTAGGCAGGCAGTGGTCGGAAGAAAAGATATTGCAGGATAGTGTATAGTTTAAAAATAGAATGTGTTAAGTGAAGGAACACTAAGAATCAGATCCAGATAACTATTTAGTCCTTGATTGCATTGTTAGCCAATGTATACTTAGGTTATTTACAGGTCATATTTGCTAGAGCTTGATGTTAAAACAAGTTTGTTTCGCTGAAGCATGTTAATGCTATTAAAGCCTGTTAACGAACCATCAAAGCTACTTAGTTAATGTAGATGATCAGTTTTTATTTTTGATTAAGCTAGTAAGTTATGAGTAATAATCAATATAGCGTTAAGATAATACATATGAGCATTAATCAGAGGACTATTAGAATAATGGGTTCACATAAGTAAATATCGATCGAAAAAGTTAAAGTGGAAATATGGATGAAGAGTTAGAGGTTGCGTTTCTTAAGTCGGGCTCACCAATTTAGAATTACGGTCTACTACGATATTAGCACTGCTCTAATAATAGACCTAATCCTAAAATTGTAGATTTATCATGATGTAACTGCCTAATCTATAAGATCTTACGTGGAAGTTACATCATCGTCTACACCGATTCATTGCATTGTAACAATTACCAATACGTGATAGAGAACAAGCTTAGGCTAGAGATAGAATATATTTAATATGAATACAAGATAACATTCAGCTGGGACCACGCCTGCCAGGCCGAGCCATGCCATCCGATGAACTCGGACTAATTCAATTTATTATTCCCGCCTTCTCCATTCTTCTGTGTTTCTCCGCGTTAAATGTTTAATGTCTATTTCTCATAATGTCTCGTGGTAGGGCCCAATGCCACTGCAAGTCTACTAAGGTCGTGTAGAGACAGATTTGACTGAACCTATGGTGTTTGTAAGCCCGCCCATGTAGGACTTCAGATCCATCCTACTGATTCTGTCCATCTAGTGGAACAGTTCACACGCGTTAAAAGGTCAGGGTGTCTATCTAAATCTGGAAAGGATCCTACCAAACTCATATGAACATGGCCGAAACGAGAATCGAGAATTTTGAAAGAGTTTAAACCACATTTGTTGTATCTAATCACCTTTGACGAGCCTGGAGAGGTTGAAGGTTTTTGGTAGGTAAATAGAGTGAAGTCTTGGTCTTCAACAGAGTTGGAAGTACCGTACGGCAAATTACATGGCTAATAGTTCCCTACCTCGATTCAGTATCAATAAACAGTCTTCAGACGAATGCCAATGGTTGGCAGGTGTGAGTAACCCATTGTTGTAAGACTCCTCTTATTGTCAAGTCAGATGTTCATGGGTGCTTTGGTGTCCTGATGTGCGAGCATAGTTACTTTTGCGATTAGTTCTTTCATGATGTAGAACTGTTCTTTCGTAATTTCATCCAAATCGATGAGTTTCGCAATTCCACGAAGTTTGTCGGTTAACAGCCTTACGAGAGATGCAAAAATCCGTATGAATCATAAAAACGAACTTACCAGGCAGTTGAATGTACGTAAATACTTTACTGTGGTCGGTTCTAGGTAATCCAGAATGGCCGCCACCTCGCTTATCAGAGAGCTGATGCATTGAGCATCAATAGTGTGTCCGAGAAAATTCAAGGAGTCGGTTTTGATTTGACATTCCCGAATGTTTACAGTAATGTCGTGATATTACAGTCGTTCATAGACAATGTCCATATGCTAAAGATGAGGTTTTCTGTTTCGACTTGCAATCAAGCAATCAACATACTCATGTACGAAGTTGTGACCTCCAAAAAGTGATCGGTGAATCTCTGGGGATTTGATTATAGACTTTAACCAAATCGATTTTCGAATAAAAGGTTGTAGCTTTCAAGGTAGCTGTCAAATAGTGAATGTGAGGCGACGGGTGACAACATCTGCGACAACGAAGATCCAGTGGATCAATTTGCGTAAGTCTACATTAAGACAAACATATTGCTTACCGTATGTGGTGATTGGTTTCCCATTTGCCAACTGTAAGTTGAAAACTGTTTGTGCAATCGGTCGTTACTAGAAGAATGCTAACTTCTATGCCAGTGTCGACGAGGAAATGAGCTTTCGTCATTACATTAGTTATATATAAGAGATAGCTATGTTCACCGGCTACGGTTGCCACTTAGTTGGTTGGTTTGGAGCTCTGAAAACGCCAGGGTTTTCTGCGATTTCGAGAAAAGTTGTATGAATAGGTCCTTGTCAAAGTTCCGTTGACGATTGACCTCTCAAATTCGTAGCAACATTTCTGCTGCTGAGCCATGTTGTAGCTTGGTGCTATAAAAGAGCCGGTCTAACCTTTGTCGGTCGCTTAGATCTCTACGCTTAAGATTAGCCTATTTTAAAGTCTCGTGTGGCTCTTGGGGACCGCTTGAGGAACTGACTGCTTTGTAGTACATAAGAGAGTGTGCAGAAAGGAGTCCCAATGAGCATCCACATCAAGTTGAGGGTAAAATTCGCAATCCATTTTTGTAGATAGTCCTGTAGAGCTGACACATTCAACCGTTTGAAATTCCAGCGCAGCCAACCTTCAAGTTACCGACCGGTGGCTCTTCTCTTTATACCTTCAAAAATCATGGAGTTCCTGGTATACGATGATATACACGATTATCTGCTGTCCTTAGATTGCTTCTCACCCCAGCAGCATGGTTTCAGGAAGGGTTACCCCTGTATGATGAACCTGCTGACTGCGGTGGACAGATGGGCAAGCATCCTTGATCGCAAGGGGAAGGTGGATATCATTTACTTCGATTTCTCAAAAGCTTTTGATAGGGTTAACCACATATGTCTTATCAATAAGCTCAGACAATCGGGTATCAAACTGTCTCTAATTGATTGGCTCATTTCATATCTGACAAATCGACATTTTAAGGTCAGGGTAAACTTTAATTTATCACAGGCTATGAAATGTCCTAGTGGGGTCCCCCATAGCTCAGTACTAGGACTTCTTCTCTTCTGGATTTATATAAATGATCTTCCTCAAAAGTTAACGTCAGACTTATTACTTTTTGCCGATGACGTGAAACTTTGGCGAGAGATACGCAACCGAGAGGGTATACAGGCACTTCAGAAGGATCTGACTCGACTTCAAAGTTGGGCAGACGACAACTTACTTACCTTTAGCACTTCAAAGTGCAAAGTAGTCCATCTGCGACATGTCGCAGACTACAGTTACAACTTAGGAAACTCCTCTCTAGTAGTATCCCGAGTCCAAAAAGATTTAGGAGTCCTGATGCCCTACGACTTAAAGTCTTACGCTAACTGTGACAGAAATGCCTTTCGAGCAAACCTTGTACTGGTAACATTGAAGCACACTTTTGGCCAGTTTGACGGGAGAACTTTCCACACAATCTTCAATAGTGTTATTCGTCCTCATTTAGAGTACGGAAACACAGTATTCCCTCCTACACTCCAAAAGGATAAAGACACTCTGGAGCGTATCCAGCGGCGAGCCACGAAATCAGTTCGGGGACTCAAATTTAAACCTTATGAAGAGCACCTCCAATCACTTGACCCTTACCCATCAGAGTATAGGTGTCTTAGAGGTGACCTTCTAATGGTTTACAGTATCCTTAACACTTCTGGACATCCTCTTAAACACCTACTTAAGCTTAGTCCCAACACTAACCTAAGGGGTAACACGCAGAAATTGGAGATACAACATAGTAGAACGGACTGCAGGCACAACTTCTACTCCTTAGGAGTTGTCAAATGCTGGAATTCGCTGCCAGCTGAACTAGTCCAAGCAACTTCCCAGGAGTCCTTTAAGAGGCGACTTGATCTATTCTTAAGGATTAAGGATAGCATCTCACTATGATTTACCAATTTCTTTTTTTTCTCTTTTATCGTTAATATACCTAGGTTCTTGCCTAGAGGTATTGGTGATCTCCTGCTACTAGACACGGAAGCCTGTTAAGCGGAATCTATTCCGTCCACAACCATTTGAACCATTTATTGGTAAATTGAAATGTCCGAAAGTACTATTCTGATGTAAATTTGGCAGCTCCACCAACGTTGTTGGTTGAGCCACTAGGACCTAATATTTTAACGAAGTATTTTTGCGAAAGTGTCGGATACCTTACATTTCTTGAAAGTTGAAATAAAACTTAAAACATAGAGAATGTTTGCCCAATAATCCTCAAGGTCTTCTGAAGGTGAAGAGGGTTTGTGCGGTTACAGCTGTCTTGATTTTAATTTTTATTGCTAACTTCCTATTTTATATATTCATCTGGTCATCTACCCGGCAATCTCACACCAGACATGGTAGCATATTTAATTATAATTTTAAGATCATCTGCTTGTACTGTGGTATGCGCTGGCAATAATTAGGAGAGAGTATAAAAGGATACTACGATTCGAGGTCGGGTGGAAAATTAAGAGTGAGTTTATCTGTGTCATTGTTAAAGATTATGAGGCTTGCCTAGCAAAGTCGCCAGAGCCTGAAGAAATTGAGCTCCCTATAACGTGAATAATTAGGAAACATATATAAATAATATAGTCTTAACTCCTCTTCTTGTACTCCATTTATGTTTGGAATCATTATTGCTTTCTTTAGCTGTTTTAAAGGTCGAGGTAAGTTCCGATTTTGGTAGCTCTTCCGGTGAGACTAATTTGTGGACTATATTTGAGCGACTCTAGACTAACCTTGATTGACCACTAAATAACCACGACCAAGTGTTATAAGCCAGTGTGAGGAATTATAGTTATAATTTACAGTTGGAGATTAAGGTCAGGGATTAGGTTTCGGGTTTTCATCACGGACTGACATCTGTAATGTCAAAACACCCAAATGGGTGTGTGAATTTCGCGTCAAAATCCCAGGCCTCTTATCTTATGCATGATTGGTTCGTTCATAGATTATATTCTCTCCGCTCTTCTACTTAATTCAGAATACATCTATCAAACCAAATTCATATTTTGGGGCTGTTGGACTGTCAGTTTGTCAAAACTAATATTGGTTACTTCTTTAAGGGTTGCTTCACGACTGTCGAGTCTTCTACTAAGCCGTACGAGTTTCAGAATATATGTGCTTAATTCATATCCTCTCCCGACACAACCCGGTACGGTAGCCACTGTCTTCATTTTCCCACCTCTAACATGGCGACCCCCTGCACCAAACCAACGATGGACTCAAATAGACCATATTGCCATCAGTCATCGTTGGAGAGGGTCGATAGAAGATTGTCGCTCATTCTGGAGTACCTGTTTGTACTCCGACCACGTACTAATACGAGCACACATCTGCTTGCGCCTCACTGGACGCAAAATAGCCACATTAAAAAGACCCATTCGAACTGAATTCAGTAACGAGAAAAGCAAAAGTAGGTTCCAAGAACAACTGAGGTCACACCTAGGTAGTTCTGAAAACGAGGCTGACCCAGATGTTGCTTGGAAAGATATAAGAACAGCTGTGAAAACAGCAGTGACATCTATTGGTGATTTAAACCACAGGGTTACAAAGAACCAATGGATTTCTTCAAGGTCTATTGCACTGATAGATTCTCGTAAACTCATCCCATCAGGTTCTGAACACGATGAAGAGCGTAAAGAAATCAGATCTAGCTTAAGCAAAAGTCTAAGGAACGATCGTGAGCAGTGGTGGGCAACGAAAGCAAAGGAGATGGAAAAGGTGGCGGCTATAGGTAACATCAGACGGCTCTTCAGACTCATAAAAGAAACTGCAATTAAAAAGTCAGGTGTAAGTGAGACTATTTCGGAAAAAGACGACACTCCCATCTGCTCCCAGTCCAGACGTTTAGAACGATGGGCGGAACATTTTAAGGAGCAGTTCAGTTGGCCTTCAGCTACTCTACAACTACCCCCTATTCCCAGACAGTATGAATGGAACATTGAAGTAGGTCCTCCAACTCTAGCTGAAGTTCAAAAGGCTATAGCTAATCTGAAAGGAGGAAGGGCAGCTGGTCCAGACGGATTGGCCTCAGAGGTCATTAAGGATGGTGGTCTAGTTTTAGCTATTAGGTTGACTAATATTTTAGCTAAAATCTGGGAGTTAGACGTTATCCCATCTAACTGGTCACAATCACTTATCGTCCCAATATTTAAGGAAGGGTCAAAATCATCCTGTGACAACCATAGAGGGATTAGTTTGACTAATATCGTATCTAAAATACTAGCCTCGATAATTATCGGACTCCTAACTAAGACTCGTGAGCTGCAAACACATGAAAATCAGGCTGGCTTTAGACCTGGTCGTGGCTGCATCGACCACATATTCACCATTCGTCAGGTTCTAGAACACAGGCATACTTATCGGCGTCCGACAATAGTGGTCTTCCTTGATTTAAAAGCAGCGTTTGACTCTGTTGACCGAGAGGTTCTGTGGCAGTGTCTGTCATTAAAAGGGGTACCTCAGAAGTACATAAACCTTGTGAAAGCTCTTTACTCGAACACTACTAGTCGAGTGAGAGCTTATGGCGAACTGTCATCTGCTTTCGCAACCTCAAGTGGCGTCCGCCAAGGCTGTCCACTTTCTCCATTTTTTTTCAACTTCATCATAGATCTACTGATGGAAATAACGCTCTCATCGACTGAATTCTCAGGTATTGATCTCCTACCAGGAGGTCCACTTATTGACTTAGAATACGCAGATGACATAGTCCTGTTTGGTGAAGACGCTGATGAAATGCAGAGTCTTTTGGTGACACTGAGCAACAATGCCAGAATGTTTGGGATGCACTTCTCTCCCTCCAAATGCAAGTTGTTGCTTCAGGACTGGTCTGCGTCAACACCTGAATAAAGGATAGGGAGTGAAGTAGTCGAACGCGTCGACAACTTTACTCATCTTGGAAGTCTGATCAGCCTTTAGGGGTTGGTGTCTGACGAAATCTCAGCACGGATTCGAAGAGCTCGTTTGGCTTTCGCCAACTTACGTCACCTATTGCGCAGGCGAGATATCCATTTATCAATTAAGGGGCGAGTATACTGCGCGCAGTTCGTCCCGTTCTACTATACGGCTGCGAAACATGGCCTTTAAGAGTAGAAGATATTCGTAAGTTACTAGTGTTTGATCACAGATGCCTTAGAAATATTGCAGGTATCTGCTGGGATCATCGGGTAAGTAATAGTGAGGTTAGACACTGGGTATTAGGGAATGATGGTAAATTAGTTGATGAGGTTATGAATCTTCATCGACTGAGATGGTTGGGCTACGTGCTGCGTATGCCTGAACACCGATTACTACGACGCGCAATGCTAACCGGTGTTAGGGATGATTAGAAGAAAGTTAGGGGCGGACGAACCAAAACGTCGAATCAGTGCTTGAAGTCACTAACTTCTAGTCTGAGCCATGTTGGTAGATGAAGACTACTTGGTTGGGGTCCGCGTGACTATCGTAACCAATGGTTGGAGTCTTGGTGATATGGCTCAGAATCGATCACAATGTCGTCGGTGTATACACTCTCTGTCTTCACTTAAACTAAGAGATTAAAATCACTTCATATCTTTCTTTCCACGAGCTAATTCTTTCTTTCTGCACTATCTCCTTATATGCAATCTTTCTTCTGTATATTACCACCACTAAATTAACTACTTCTATGAATCCGGTGTTCATCTTGTTGTGCTAATGCGGTATGGCAACTTGGACCGATGCATACACGTGCCTGGTCCTACGTTGTAGCTGACTGACTGACTGACCACCTTTAATCTCACTATCTTATATAGTCTTTTTTACACACCGAAAACATTGTCCAGAGTATCTAAATTGCAGAGTACGGGATAAATATCCATTAAAACGATCCTACTGTTAGTTTCAAGTGACAGTTCACTTCTAGATAGTACACGTTGGTGAGAGTTTAAGTAGTAACATCTTTATCACTTGATAAACTAATGTGATGCATTTTCCAAGTGTTCATGTAATTGCACTATTTCTAAAACAAATATATGGTTAAATATCTTTTTTTTCTTCAGACCATATTATTATAATAGTACTCAAAGGGATTCCGACGATTTGTCGGTGAAAACATCCATTTTATCAACTGCCATCTTGAAGTCCCGGTAGATAACTCTATCATGAAAATCTTAGCTTATCAAAATTTGGGGAAATTGTAGCTTCATCACCTGATTCTCCTGAGTAAAATGCAATCTCGAAGTCGCCCTCAATGCAACCTCAAAAGTAACTGACATTTTCTTAACGAGTTAAGACTTTGGCCTAGATGACTCGCGAAATAGGTTTCAAATAGAGCTGGAATTTGTCCAATGTCTTGCCAATCCTAACTATCTAAATTGTATGTTTGTGTTTTCTTATTATCCCTAGTTCTCGCACAGCAAGGTTGGTTTGAAAAGCCGAATTTCATAAAGTATTTGAAGTATTTACTGTATTGGAAGGACCCTGCATACTCAAGGTATCTCATGTAAGTTAACTCAAATTTGACTAAAATACCATATTTCATGATTATTTATAGAGTGAAATTAAAAATAAAATCTTCCTAAACGTTTTCATGACTAAAAGTGTATCTTCATAACCTTATGTATTAGCTAAGCATTTACTTCTATCGCCCATCTGTCGGCTCACCATTTTGACGTATATATATATATATATATATATATATATATATATATATATATATATATATATATATATATATATATCATTCTCTAAGTGCGAACTTTTTCGAAGCTACAAGTTTGTTTCAGTATGCTATGAGTGTGACTAGTGCTTATGTCTGCTTTCTTATGGGCAGGCCACTACCTAAATGTAGTTTGGTTTCTGTATTTAAATCCAGTGCTATGTGCAGTCAATCTGTCTACATAAATCATCCTGTGATAAAAATGTATTGACTAGCTTAGCATAAGATGAGCTTAGCACACATAAGAACCTTGTGAGCATCTAAAAACGTGCTTCAAAAGACCATCACTTTGGTACAAATATATGTTATTGGTAAAATTCTTTTGTATTCAAGACAAAGCGCAAACCTTGAAGATGTCAAGTTTAAAGGGTTTTGAAAAAAGGTCAGATGTCCTGCAGGGCCAACAGCTCAGTGTTTTTGATAAGCCGGTTTTTAACAATTATGACTTACTGGAAGGTTGTCACGTAAATGTTTATATAAATAACCGTGTGAACTGAGAGGTCTATCAATAATTATTTTAGTATGAAGTCTCACCGTACTACCAACAAGTCGGGCGACTATAGCGTATAGTAAATAATTTATCCATTCAGGTTTTTAACCACGTGATATATATTCCCCTTTTATTTTTAGTTATCCGTACTGTCTTCACTTGCTGGATCTTTTACAACATGCGGAATTTCGCTCTGCTCTTGCACGAGGTCAGATATGCCGAATGATCGATGATCAAATTCTTCTTCACTGGCAGCACTATATGCGTAAGCGTGCAGCTCTTATAGCTAAACACGTTGAAGAAACTATACAACCCACTTAACTTCACTTCTGAGTTATGAAATGTATTAAGTCGTTCATAAATTGACTTTAATTCCCAAACTTGTGTTTTTCTTTCTGATGTCTTTTTGTCATCATATCAGGCGTTTACTAAACACCGAGCTCTTTGTTTGATCTCATTATGCTTGAATATTTTTACGAAATAAGATTGTATTGACAAAGTAAACCACTGTTAATTACAAACATCATGTAAATTCATTTCAGTGTATTAGCTTTAATCGATTTCTGTTAAACTTCTAATATTTGATTCATTTTGCTCAACTTTATTATATTAGGTCACTTTTCTTGAAATTGAATATATATTTGGGTATTAGGCTCCTAGATGAAACCTGCAGTTTTACTCTGAATACTTTGAACTGATTGTTGGGATAGTTAGTGTACATTATAGGCGCATTTAGTCCTGGTATCCATTGGAGTGCTTAATAATTGTACTGTTTACTTGTCTCAATTCAAACATAGGACAATTATCTATGCCAAGACCTAATTGCATTTCAAATAAAATTTGTTTTTAACTTCAGCAAATAATTGAATATCGTATTCTGAACTTATGCTAATTGTTGTTAGCAGTCTAATGTAGTACTGTTCTATTAACTTCACATATGCATAATACTAGTTCTCTGTTATTAAGTATCGATATAATCATACAACAAATGGATGCCCGGGACATTTGCTTCTAGCAAATGTAATTGAAATTAAAAATTTCCTGTGTGGTCGCATTCAGAATATTACGCTGGTGTTCTACTAGCTATGTCTCAAAACGTGACTATCAAATAAGATCAATTAACTATTACCCATGCAAATAAATTTTGCATAATAATGATATATATATATATATATATATATATATATATATATATATATATATATATATATATATATATGGATGCAATAGTAGCTAAGGTCAAATTAAAAGTTAGAAGTTCTGAGCTTAGATATAGGAGATAACACTTTGGGAGCATTAATGTTTGAACTAAGAAGAACGCAATATCTGGCTGAGATGATATTACTAGGCTTTTGTTTTGAAGAATCAATTATAGGGCAGCACTTCACCTGATAATGCGAGATATAGATAAATATTTGTTTTAGTTGGTTTCCTTTCAGTTTCCTTCCTTACATCCGTTTAGAATACTTGAACATTAAGTGGTAATTATTGTACACAAACTCCTTGAAGTACTCATGTGCTTACTAAGTAAGTAATTTGCTTTTTTGGACGACCATTAATTATTCTGAACTGACATGGCTCATGATTTCTTTAACTTCTTCCAAGCATTCGATTGTGTTTATTATATTCGATACAGAAATAAGCTGTCCTTTTTGCCGATCAACGTGGATAAGATAGACTACATTTTAGCTAATGAATCTAACAGTACTCTATCAACTATAATCAAGGTTATCTGACTGTTTAAGGCATTTAAGAAAAAAGCTTCATAAGAATAAGCAGTTAGATATCAATAATGATCGTTAATTATCATCTGAAACATTTCACCGAACAAAAAGACGCACAGTTGTATTTGTATTTTCACTAAGTAAGATGTCAATTTGCAAGTAATCTGCCATATTTTAGCTCAAGAATGCATGAATTCGTTACTATCAAACAATCTTTTTACTGCCTTTAAATCACACATTGTGACCAACTGTTACTTTCTGTGAATTCCCCACTAACTGTTGTTCTACAGGTATAGTTAAGTCAACTATTGTGGCGGTTGTTTCACGATATAATGTTGTCCAATTCGCTTGGTTATTCACTACGTTAGTTGCATTCGGGGCTGAATCAATAGCACCACAACCACGTAATCCATGTATAAATACGCTTGGTCTCGGTACTTGTGTATAACCATCCTTTTTGGTTGCTGTGCTAGTTTCTCTGAAATTTGAAAAAAATCAAAGACTGACTACATTTCAAAGTGAATAGATTAGTACTTCATATTTTTTATAGAAGGGTATGGATCTAGTTAAAGTCATTATGACGTTACGACAAAACTTTTACCTATATGCAAATCGTTTCTTTGAAACATGAACTAGTAAACAGTCTACGTTGTCTAGAGCTTTGGTTTATGTAACTCATCTAAAATATCGTAACCTAGTTACATTAGATTAGAATAGTGAGCTTTCTGTAGAACGTGAGGGATAAAATTTATGCTGTTTCAGGAAAGAATAGTTTTAGTAATATTTCGCTACGTACATACAATTTCAAGACGCCAAGCTTTTCCAAGAAGAAAAATAGTCTTATTTGTTAAACTGAAGTATGTTCTCAACGTATATTACCCTACAAGTCATTCTTACAACTTTACCATCCGAAGTTCGTGAAGATTGAGCAACTGGATGTTCTGCCTTACTAATATTGGATAAGTTAGAGATACTGTGCTTTAATCAAAGTAACACGACGTAATATAGCACCTCACTTACACTTAAGTCTGTTAACGTTTAATCTTGTCAATGCCTTCAGTGTCATTCGAACAGTAACAACTTGTCTATATCTTTGTAATATTTTTATCATGTCCATATGTAATTGATCACGTCTATATATATATATATATATATATATATATATATATATATATATATATATATATATATATATATATATATATATATATATATATATATATATATATATATATATATATATATATATATATATATATATATATATGTTTGAATCTTATTAATTCATTCGCCTCCTTATTTGCTAGCTCGTATTTTCATTTGTGCTCGAACCCGCTATGTGTGCTTTTGGCCCAGTGATTTGCGATGTACAAATTGTAGTCAACGCTTCGTATCGTCTCCAGGAATTTATAAATTGTTGGGAGCTACCTAATAAAGATTATCAGGATTTGTGATATACGAAGCCTTAGGAATTATCTCGAAGATAATCCACTACGACAGCTTTTACCTGCCACATATGGTTTTTAATTCGAAAATTACTGATCAACAATATTCTAAAATAATTGGTACTTATAGAAAGAATAGTCCTCGTGTAATGTAAAAACAAGTTATTTTTTTGACAAAATGAAACTAAAAAATCACAACCTGACCGTTGTTGCTACCTTGATGTGGTGGTCGGGCTTGCCTATCGTGATAAAGCAACTGAGCTATACTGCCTGGAACAACCGTTCCTCAAGGTCTTACCATGCCAGACAGGTCGGTTGAAGAGCGGTAAGACTAAAAGTAACAAATCCAAGGTCCGAAGGCGAAGTCTCACCGCTGACTGTACAGAGGTGTGACAGCAGTAGGGCGTTTCCCTCAGGTAACCAGCATGACAGCGATGCTGCCTTCCTTCAAAGGGTGCAGTTGAAAAAAGTTGACCCTAGAAATGCACACCTCGTCTTATCTCACGGATTTTCGTCTCCGGCGGTAAGGTCTCAGCAATTACGAATTTAACTCAAAAATCACCCACAAAAAGGTCGTGTATGACCAGCTTCAAGTAGTTGTCCCTTGGATACTACGGTCACGCTCTCAGGTCACTATGACCACCTCTAACCCAATTTCTTTTCAGGTATCTCCAGAAGAACTCTTCCACGGTGTGGGCAACCGGGAAGTGATAACCGCCCTCATACTTCCAACAGCACTCAGGATCACTGTATTCACAATCAATTTCCCTTTTCAATTCTTATCATTCCTCCTACATAGACTTTTAAATCTAAGCTTCCTCCTTTGGTTTCCTCCTCAAGTATCACCATAGCCAACGATTCTAGTGCTAAAAACGCTGTCCCAGGTCTACTGAAACCTCGCTCCAAACTACACATTGGAGCCTTCAACGTACGCACACTATGTCAAATCGGTCAGCAGGCATGCTTGGCTAAAACCCTAGAATCTCGTACCATAGATGTATGCTGTGTCTCCGAAACACGCATACAGGATCCTAGTGTGGTCATTCACTTGACCTCATCTCGGCAAAACGGAGTGCCGACGAGATACACCCTCCGTGTATCTGGCGACCCGATGGCTAGTCCTCGTGGACTGGCAGGTGTAGGCATAGCACTAAACAAGAGGGCGGAACAAGCGCTATTATGATGGATCTCTGTTAACAGTCGTCTATGTGCTGTTCGGCTAAACGGCTCCGTAAGAACTCGGAAGGATAAGGACACACGTCGTTGCCTTTTCGCCGTTTCTGCCCACGCTCCCACTGACTGCAGTTCGGATGAAGTGAAAGATGAATTTTACAGAAAACTGTCCAAACTTCTTCAGAAAGCTAAACGTTCAGGCATAGTACTCGTAGCAGGTGAATTTAATATCCAGGTAGGTAACTTAAACGAAACAAAAAGACATTTAGGTGGGTATTTTAGTATTCCGGCACAGCGAACAGATAATGATGACGTCTGCTGCAACTGTGCTCAGACAACCGTTTATTTTTAGCAAACACAAGTTTTAAGCATAAGGAGAGACACCGTCTGACATGGCGACCCCCAAATAGACCATATTGCCATCAGTCATCGTTGGAGAGGGTCGATAGAAGATTGTCGCTCATTCTGGAGTACCTGTTTGTACTCCGACCACGTACTAATACGAGCACACATCTGCTTGCGCCTCACTGGACGCAAAATAGCCACATTAAAAAGACCCATTCGAACTGAATTCAGTAACGAGAAAAGCAAAAGTAGGTTCCAAGAACAACTGAGGTCACACCTAGGTAGTTCTGAAAACGAGGCTGACCCAGATGTTGCTTGGAAAGATATAAGAACAGCTGTGAAAACAGCAGTGACATCTATTGGTGATTTAAACCACAGGGTTACAAAGAACCAATGGATTTCTTCAAGGTCTATTGCACTGATAGATTCTCGTAAACTCATCCCATCAGGTTCTGAACACGATGAAGAGCGTAAAGAAATCAGATCTAGCTTAAGCAAAAGTCTAAGGAACGATCGTGAGCAGTGGTGGGCAACGAAAGCAAAGGAGATGGAAAAGGTGGCGGCTATAGGTAACATCAGACGGCTCTTCAGACTCATAAAAGAAACTGCAATTAAAAAGTCAGGTGTAAGTGAGACTATTTCGGAAAAAGACGACACTCCCATCTGCTCCCAGTCCAGACGTTTAGAACGATGGGCGGAACATTTTAAGGAGCAGTTCAGTTGGCCTTCAGCTACTCTACAACTACCCCCTATTCCCAGACAGTATGAATGGAACATTGAAGTAGGTCCTCCAACTCTAGCTGAAGTTCAAAAGGCTATAGCTAATCTGAAAGGAGGAAGGGCAGCTGGTCCAGACGGATTGGCCTCAGAGGTCATTAAGGATGGTGGTCTAGTTTTAGCTATTAGGTTGACTAATATTTTAGCTAAAATCTGGGAGTTAGACGTTATCCCATCTAACTGGTCACAATCACTTATCGTCCCAATATTTAAGGAAGGGTCAAAATCATCCTGTGACAACCATAGAGGGATTAGTTTGACTAATATCGTATCTAAAATACTAGCCTCGATAATTATCGGACTCCTAACTAAGACTCGTGAGCTGCAAACACATGAAAATCAGGCTGGCTTTAGACCTGGTCGTGGCTGCATCGACCACATATTCACCATTCGTCAGGT